AAAATTATTTTTAAAAAATAAATTATTTCTTGATTTTATAATGCACTATAGAAAATAAGATGGAAAAAACTATTCAATATTTAACTATATTATAAAAAATAGTTAAAAAATAATTATTGATGTTTTTATTTATTTATTTATTTTTAAGTTTATTAAAAGAATAAAAACTAAATTTGATAGATGAAAAAGTTAAAAGATGATTAAATTAAAAAAAATATTTTATAAATTATTTTAAATAAAATAAATAACAATAAAAATAATAAGAATCCAATAATTAAAAAATTTCAATTAAGAAAAAGATAAAAGAAAAATAAATAACAATAAAAAATAAGGATTAAAGTTAATATAAAAATTAAATTAAATCAAATTCTTATTAAGGGATGAAATTAAAAAAAATTAAAAAATTATAATGAAAAGATTGAAAACTAAATTTAATATAATCAACAAATAACAAGATATTTTTGAATTTTGTTCAACTTCTAGAAAGTATTTTTTACTCAATATAAAAGAAAAATATTTTTCTAGAAATCATGTTAATTTTTTTATTGAAAAGTGTTTTTCATTAATTAATTTTTTTAATGTTAAACAAACACTAAAAAAATTTTAAAATTACTTTTCATAAAATAAAGCATCTTGAGTTACCATCACCACAAAGAAAATATAATTTCATAAAGTGATGAAATTTTATGTTAATTTCATGAAGAAATTAAAGAAAATTTTAAGGACACATATAATTAACCTTTTGTGATGTCATATGTATATCATGTCTATGTCTATATTAGCACAGAAGTTTTTCAGAATGTGAATTACTGCAATACCAATGCTAGCTTAATTTACCAATGTGGATCTAGTCCCCAAAATTAGCTAACTAGCCGCTAGACTGCTAAAGTTATCGCACCCATCTTCGGTTCAAAACACCAGGAAGATAAGGTTGTGGTCATTGCAGGTTAAAAAGTTTGAGTACTTGTGGACTAGCATGGAAATGAAACACGACGGAGAAGCTAGCTATGACAGTATATCATTTATACGCAGATATTTAGTTACCTACCTCCATGATTATTTAGTTTAGTTCACAGCTAAATATTGATTCAAGAAAAGAGAAGAATGATGCCAGCAGTTGTGGTCCAACGCCCTGAAGCATCGATCTGATGAAGAAATATTGTAGTTGTAACTAGAGTTTAGCCAGTGTAGGACCTAGAATTCGGAATGATAATTTCGAAATGATACAAAAGCTATAAACCAAAACTTCTGAAGACGGGAAAGATAATGATAAAAAAGTACAATTCACCGTGCATGAACAAAGTTTATAACTGTATACATGTGACTACCACACCAGAGTGTTAGTATAGAAACTTGTTGGTGAAATTATAGATATTAAACTAGACTTCTTCCAACAAGCTTATCCGATGAAAAAAAAAAAGTATGGTCAATTTGTGATTTGATTAACCGGTTATAATCATGTATGATCAATACCATTTTTTTAAAAAAAAAATGATAAGATGATATCATTTTAATAAAAAAATAATTACTCTAAATTACTGAATAACAAAGCCACCCTTACCTTTTCTAAATCATATCACAATCGGAGGCTGACGTACGTCAATGGCTGAAATACTGGGGGACAATAGTGTTAGCATGAGCACCCACTGACCTGAAAAGTCCATCGTAACACTGATCAGGCGTATGGAAGTTGGCACAAAGTGAAATCCCATGTGAGGAAGATTATGATATGTACCTATAGGCAGCATTTTGGCAGGGTTCTTCCAAGGTCCTTATGCTTATACCAGATGGGTAGCAAGGACTGGGTGGATATAAAATTTATGTCCTGCAAAGAAGAGACATTTGTTCTCAGAGGTGAACCCCGTGTGATGGATACAGGCCAAGATGCAACCAAAACCTATACTCTCAAATCATCATATCAGACAGTATCAGCAAGCCACTTTTGCCCCACTATAATGTATGCGCGAGTAAAAATATGTGGTGCGTGGGGTCTGTACAGCACCATAGAAAGCCTGCACTGTGTTTGTGGCCCATTATGCTTCATGAGTGTGGACAATATCTAGCACCATACATCAAAATCTAAAGGGGTCAACTGAGGAATTTTGCGGTGGCCCTTGTATCCAATGGGCAATATGGCTTGTTGAGATGCCATGATGCTGTAGCAGAACGCTCGCTAGCTACCATCTTTTTCCTAATTTCAAAAATTTTCTAGTGTTGGTATATGGCACGAAAGGAGATGTTGGAATTTCCGTTCTGAATTTGCATGCACAAATGGAAGGAAGAAATCATCGGCATTGAACTATATTCTCTCACTTTCTAGTTAGAAACAAACAAGAAATGATCAGCTTGGAAAAAAAGATGGAGTGTAGGAATTAAGGAAGAAGGGAGACCTTTTTTTATTCTTACAAGGAGGAAGAGAGACCAAGGCCCGTTGATGAAAAGCGTTTTTTTTTAATTATTTTTTTAATTTCTAATTAATTTTTATGAAAATCGAGCTGGGCTTCCGAAACTAATCTGATAGCTTCCATAGAATCAAAATTGCATAGCATCTCTCTGAAAATCCTGTCCCAAGCAAGATAATTACTTGATTAATTGCTTTGTATTTATTTGATTTTGTATGTTCGTGAACACAGTCGAACTCGAAAAAAAACTGAAATTTACTTGGAAATATTGGAAAATTTTAAAATATAGCGGCCAAAATGAAATGTTGCGGAACATACAATGAATTGGGTTAGAAAATAATTTAATCAAACAATATTATTTCTTCCTGTATTTCAGCAAATCTACCCATCCCATCTCAATAGGACTTAAATCCCAATACTTGTAAGTTACATTATTCCATCGAACCATGGATGTCTCGAGATTTGTGTACATATATAGCCATACTAACATTGCATATGATGCTTTTAATATCCTTAATAATTTCTTATAACTGTTCTAATCTTTTTAAATGTTCTCTGATAAACATATCGTTCACACGAGAAAGAAAAAAAGAAAAAAAAAGAAAAACAAAGAGATGCATGACGTGAGAAACCTGACATGCTGAAAGCCAATGATTTTTGCTATATGAAAACCAAAATTAATCGTGGAGTATAGAGATGTGATATAATGATAGACAATGGCCTATGGCACCCCCCACAATTGTGATTCATCATTCACGTTTTCGAAACATGAAATTTCTCTCCCCGTCGATCTATCACTAATTACCAACTTAATTATTGGGTTTTTTTGGTGTGCATTATAGTCATGATATTGGAAGCTCCTCTTTTCAGTGATTGTCCACCCCTTGACTTCTCACCGAAATTCATCATTGTTCCAGCGTTTTATTACAAATTTAATTGTGCCTAAGAAGGCCATTATATGGTGAAATGTAATGTGTTGTGGGATTAACAAGCTCAATCAAGTCATGAAATTATAGCGTCTGCCTTTTGAAATCACCTTTAGAATTTAAAGTTTGTGTGAATATTCATTGTAATTAATTAAGTTACTATATGTCAATATATAATGTTTGTGTGAATATTCAACTAATATTAGAAGGTTTTTATAGAAGAAAAACTGTAATTAATGAGAAATATATAGTGCTGTTTTCAAAGGGTTGGAGTTGAACAACCCAATGGCTATAAGACTCGAGATTTTCAACAATTCACTCTAAGGTTGCAGGTTAAAATTCTAAGAAGGATGGAGGATGGTTACTCTCATTTTGCATAGCCCCGAGTCTATTCGATCTGTGTGCGTGCGTGTGTGTGTATGCGCGCGTGTGTGCTGAAGAACCAGAGGTAATCAATGCAATTTCATTATTGAAATTGTGAAGGAGACGGTAACTACATTAATAATATTGAAGTTAATAGTGTGATTTAACTGAGTCTTGATTCAATGTTTAGCAGAAAAAGTTTTATTATTATTATTAAAAAAAGGTAAAACATTATCAGTTAAAAAAAAACAACTTAAAACTCACTCAACCTTTTACGTGGAAGTAATTTTCATCACAAAAATAACCAACACCAACCTCCCATACGCTATTTTCGTTTGATTCTTCATTTGATTAATGCTGGTGTCCTAGATGTGTGTGTGTGTGTCATAAGACTCAAGATCACTGACCAGTTTGGTTCCGATTTAAGAGCTAATTACGATTACACTTGAATGAACACGCCTACATGTAGATGCGCAGAAATGAGCAAAATACACTCTTTTTCTATGGATAATCGGATATATATGATCTGGGAAGCTGAGTGATACCTTATTAATTTATTAGTGAAGCGAGAAATTATTGAATTAGTCAGACCAAATTACTGATCGTGTCACGTGTTCTATCTTTGACCCCGCAGGCCGCAGATATGGAACTAAATCCTACAGCTAGCTTGTTATGCTTTGGATCCACTAATAATAATTTTCAGTCAATCATATGGTCATATCATTGACCTATATATGTAAGCATCTATACAATTGGACCAATTAATGGAGACGATAAATACATTTATATGACAAAAAAAAAAGGTCGACATAAATATTTGGACAAGTAATGGGAAAATGGGAATGTATTCCTTGTGAAAGAAGTATAAAAAAGGTTGGTGTAAGAAAGGGAACATGGATTGGACCACAAACCTTGATAAAATAAGCTAACAGCTGAATAAATATTGCCACCCAACTTGTTGGGGTATTTCTCAGAAGAGATCATGGATCATGACCCACTACTGGTAAAACCTCTTCCCTGTGTCTGGTTTAATTTGTAAGAAAATGGGGTCTACAAGTAAATAAATATCTTTTTAAAACATCTCCTGATGATGTGCTAAATCTAAAGAAACAAATAGATAACAAGTAAAATAGCATTTAAAGCTGGAGAAAAAAGGAAAGAAAATAAAATATATTAGTCGTTGTTAGGGCACTTTGTCTCTTTTATATTCAAGGCTCCAGGCTTCCCTCAAACCACTTTCCTCTATGATACAAGGACAGAAGGGGGGGGGGAGGGGGGGGGATTT